CTATGGTGTACATCATGCAAAAATCTATAACAGCTAAAGTTTTGTCACATAGGGGTGTTGAGTATTATAGAAACTGAAACTCGGTCACATGGTGATATCGTGAAATTTATTAGTGAGTCATGCAGAAAAGTCTGCAAAATTTGAGCCTCGTGGTTTTTAAGTCACATAGTAAAATATTTGGTGTACATCATGCAGAAAAATTGCAAAAGCTAATATTTGATCACATAGGAGTATTATAGAAATTGAAACTGGGTCACATAGTCACATCATGAAATTTATTAGTGATTCATACAGAAAAGTCTGCAAAATTAGAGTCCCATGGTTTTTAAGTCACATAGTAAAATCTATGGTGTGTACCATGCAGGAAAATGGTAACAGCTAAATTTTTCACATAGGAGTGTTATAGAAATTGAAACTAGGTCACATTGTGACATCGTGAAATTATAAGTGAGTCATGCAGAAAAGTCTGCAAAATTTGAGTCTCTTGGCTTTTAAGTCACATAGTAAAATATATCATTTTTTTCACATAGGAGTATTATAGAAATTGAAACTGGGTCACATAGTGAAATCGTAAAATGTATTACTGGGTCATACAAAAGTGTGCTAAATTTGAGATCCACGGTTTTTAAGTCACATAGTAAAATCTATGGTGTGTACATCATGCAGAAAAAGTTATAACAGCAACCTAATATTTTTTCACATGCGTATTATAGAAATTGAAAGTGGGTCACATAATGACATCATGGAATTTATTAATGAGTCAAGCAGAAAAGTATGCCAATATGGGTCTCTTGGTTTTTAAGTCACATAGTAAAATATATAATTTTTCACATAGGAGTATTATAGAAATTAAAACTGGGTCACATAGTGACATCATGAAATTTTTTGTGAGTCATAAAAATGTGCTAAAATTGAGTTCCACAGTTTTTAAGTCACATAGTAAAATCTTTGGTGTACATCATGCAGAAAAGTTGCAAAAGCTAATATGTTGTCATATAGGAGTGTTATAGAAATTGAAACTACGTCACATTGTGACATCATGAAATTTATTTGTGAGTCATAAAAAATGTGCTAAGATTGAGTTCCACAGTTTTTAAGTCACATAGTAAAATATTTGGTGTACATCATGTAGAAAAGTTGCAAAAGCTAATATGTTGTCATATAGGAGTGTTATAGAAATTGAAACTAGGTCACATTGTGACATCGTGAAATTATAAGTGAGTCATACAGAAAAGTCTGCAAAATTTGAGTCTCTTGGTTTTTAAGTCACATAGTAAAATATATCATTTTTTTCACATAGGAGTATTATATAAATTGAAACTGGGTCACATAGTCACATCATGAAATTCATTAGTGATTCAAGCAGAAAAGTCTGCCAAATTTGAGTCTCGTGGTTTTAAGTCACATAGTAAATCTTTGGTGTGTACCATACAAAAAAGTTATAACAGCTACCTAATATTTTTTCACATTAGTATTATAGAAATTTAAACTAAGTCACATAGTGAAATTTATTGAGTCATACAAAAACGTGCTAAAATTGACACGCAGTTTTTAAGTCACATAGCTTGGCACAGCGCCTAAGTAATATAACGGAGTCATGTAGTATTATTGTAGGGAGTAGGGCCGACTATCTGCCATCAATATGTAAGCATGGGAGACAATGTAGTGCCCCGGGGGCTTTCAACAATTCAGACCCGACGATGTTGTGTGCGGCTCCCCAACTCTGTCAATTCTACACTGTGAAGCTTGTTATAATACAGCGAGTGGAAGGTTGAATTTGTTAAAAAGTTATGTTTTTTGTGTTAAAAAATGTGTAGTGTGGTTAACATTAGTTGTAGAACCTATTGAACTAGATAATCCATTGTGTTAAGGTATCATTATAAGTGTTATTTGACGTATCTTTTGTGCATTATGGTTAAGGTTAAATGTACCACCAATTATAGAATAAACATTATAGTTCAAAAGCTCCTAAAAGGGTTTACTGATTTTACTTACTAATATTTGTTATACAATGAATTTTAAAAAGTCCAAGTCAATTTGCTGTGTTGTGAACTATAACATCTTCATTTTGCCTCTCATAGTATCGAGCGTTAACTTAGAAAATGTTATTTTGACAGTAGAACATTCTGGCTCATTTAAACATGTTCCTTTTTAATACAAAATCCTACAATTGTTCCATAAAGGTACAATAGTATTTCGTTGTGATACGATATGTCAGTATGGAAAGAAGAAGAAGAATTGAGTCAGTATAGATGTGGAGGTGGAAGGTTACAGATTGTTTGTATACAAACTACTACGTGTCAAATAAGTTGACAGAATGACTGATATTTTGTTGTAAGACGATTTGACAATGCAGCAGATAAAAGTAAAAAATTGTGTATAAACACGATATTGTGTATATTGTGTGTTTTGTGTAACATGAAGTCACAAATGTTTGAGGTGAAACACAAAACCGTGTGTGTATTATCTTGTGTCAAATATATTGTCTGCCACGTTGAGTGATATTTTGTAACATGATATGGTCTGGAAAGTCACAGCTTTGGGTATAAAATCAGTGTTTTGTCGGATAAACTGCCTGATATTTGTTCACAACAAGATATAGATACCCAAAATGCCATCACGTTTGTAATTTAATTTTAAAACAAAATTGGAAGAATATTTTTTTGTTTTGGTTAGAGATAAACGTTAGCTTTTATGAATTATAAATTCAAACAAATAATACTAAAAATATATTTATAGAATAATTTATAATCAGTTCACTTGAATATACGTCACCGAAATGGATTATGATGAATTTCCATGTAGTTATGCTAGAATTTCTTGGATTTAAAACTTATATTTCCGAATCCAACCCCGATTCTAAGACTATTACATAGTGACATACAACGTACTATGTAACACTAAATGGTGTTGCATGTTAAGTTTTATGAGTGTATTATTAGTTTATATAAGTAACTGTAACATAAATGACGGTCGCTGTAAATTTATATATTGATAGGCAAGCATGTTTCTTGAAAGCTTTTTTTCTCAGCTCGTTTGCATTGTAGGGAAAATTTTCGGACAGTGTTAAAAAGATATTTGTCTGTAGAAGTGCAGAATGCCTTTGTAAATTAAAATAGGCTAAAGAAATAAACACAAAAAATGAATTAAAAATTAAAAAAAATTAACATGGGCCTTATGGATTGCCACGATGGTGATGGAATGTAAAAAGAAAATCAAAACATATGGAAGAAATTCCAATCACATGTTTTATTTACAGCGTGGGGTGAAAATAGAGAAGGCTGTATATTACATATTTTTGGTCGAGTTTTCGACCACTGGACGACCTCTAGTAGTTAGTTAAACAATACTGAAAACTATTAATTAAAAACTGCTTCAAATTAATAAAAAAAGTAAACCATTTTTAAAGAATTTTAAATTTTCTAGAAAATTTCACAAACTAAACATATAAAGCTAAATATATTAGGAATTTTTTACTTTTAGGTTAAAAATTGTTATTCAACCTATGCAAGTTGGTTCTCGAGACTAAAAACTCGGATAAATAGTTGGGGAAAAAATTTTACAAGTGTAAATAATAAAATAATTGTGATTAACGCATAATAATCGATGGATGAGTTGAATTAATTCCTATCACACACTAATGGGGATAGTAGGGAGTTAACAGTTTGGTGGTGTTTGAAGTTTCAATAGCAATCTATGATGACGTATGAGCATTGAAGGGGTGGTGGGGGGTTAGCGGGGGAGGGCAGAGGGTTATTATGCCATTCATTGTTGAATGTTTATGAAAACACATGGCATCACTGTCCTTTCTAAAATTACAATTGTCATTGTCACAACATCGAAATTTTCCAAATGAAATCCATTCTTAAAAGGAAGTGTATGAAAAACGTTGGAGTTATACGAAAAAAAGGAAAATAACCAATATTAACAGGAAAAATGTTTGCTTTTTTAGTACGTTAACAAGTTCATAAAGTATATTTAATAAAATTAAATATTGGTAAGCTTTAGGAAATTATTAAGGTTGAGTAGTTTGTATTTGATTTAGAGTAATTATATACATCAACATAATAATATTTTTAAAATTATTAAACACTGTAATTCTATTCGTTATTTCTATTGGTTATTTTCATTAATATATTTACCAATAGGTCATGGGTCTTTTAGTGAACACATTTAAAATCAATTTTTTTCAAACGTTTCACATTTTTTTATGTTTTTCTAATGTTTTCATGTGAAATATTTTTTTAATACATTATACCTTTTTGACTGGGTACAGTTTCAAAATACATTAGATCTTTTAGCACGTCGTATCTTTGTGTAGTTTATAACTGAATGTTAAAAGAATCAAATATTCAACTGTTTACTAGCAATACTATTAACATTCCACATTATACCTCACGGCTAAATATTTCCACAATTTCAACCAACCCGGTCAAATCCCTGGAATCAATTATTTCACAAAGTACACACTGCTACTCGACGTTCCGCGCTATGGGGTGGATCACTTGGACCGTTCCATTCTTTATACCCCTTTGTCGTCTGATCATCTCTCATCCATTACACACAAACTCTCATTATCAACACAACAATGTTTTATACCGACAAAGGATCAGCTGAGCTACATTTAAGGGCAGGGTTCAGTAACGACCGGGCGTTGGGTGGGGTTACGCATCCTAAGCTTTGTTTCACTAGTTCAAAGGGGGTTTTAACACTCACTAGGTAACGATTAAGGGTCAAATGGTGAATTAAAATGTTTTTGTTGTGTTTTTGATAAGTTTGAGAAGGAGTCAGTGTCGTAATACATCAAAGGTGGGGTTGGTGGTAATTTTAGTGTGGTATACACCTTTTGTTTTATGTACTGTATACTTTAATTACAAAAATATAGTATTTTATTTTTAATTTACCAATAACAAAATTAAACTACTAGGCCTACTCCTTAATAATCGATCACTGACAAAGAACACACTCACTATCTCCACAGGGTTTACACTATCACTCACCGGGGAAGATGGTACCGTACAAAAGCAGCATTAGAGCCGCGAGTGCAGATGTGTTCATATTGTGCTGCCAGAATCACCGGTTCCCATCGTTCCAGTCGTTCACTCACTCACTCACATACCGGGAGTGTGGGCCTGGGCCCCTGGTCATATTGACTGTAACAACGCGCAGCCGCCGCCCTACCCATCGCACCTCGCCGCGCCGCTCCGCTCGCCGCTTGCTCCTACATTGCTAATTGCCCGAGTGGCTTCCTTCTCAATGGTCGGATGAGGGATCAGCACGTAAATGTCACAGCTGATTTTTAGGTGTTTTGGTATTGGTTGAAGTTTAGGGGTGTTAGGTTGGAGTAGGTTAGAGTTTTAGGTAAATAAAAAATATTGTGTACCTTCTATTTAGTTTTTGGGGGGTAATATTTTGTTTTTTGTTCAGAAAATTAGAGTTGTACTACTAGAGTGTCTAAGCGTTTAATCATTTTAAAATTAGTGAATAAATTTAAAAAAATGTTACTCGTAACAAGCTGAAGCCAAAAGGGTTCTTTGTTTCAAGGTGGGTTGGGATAATCTTGGATATTTGAGAGATTTTGTGGTATAATTATTTGAAAATTGGGATTGAAATAGTGCATTTTAATAAAATTTAAATAAAACAAAATTACTAATTGAAAAATTAAAAAAGTTTTTAAAGAAATATTTACGAAATTGCTCTGTTATGAACGAAAACCATTACACATAAAGAAAATGTCAATAATAAAAAATTATTATTTTGAAAACATGCTATCAAGTTATAAAATAAAAATTTAAAATGAATTAACTAACTTAATGTAAGTTAGGATTTTAATTAAAAAACATTTGATGAAGTAATCAAAACACATACTTGTATAAGAAAGACTGTATGTTAACATTTTCGATGTTTTGGATTTTTCAAATATAAATGTATGCCATTAATTTTGTTATTGTATTTTCAAAGCTAGACCCAGCTGTTCCTGATCATTGGGCTTTTAATACATGAAAAAAAGCTAAAGTAACAGCTGATCATAGTCAGCAACAAAAGTACTCACTACACAGATCATTTCACTCAGTTCTACACTTTTTGCTAATATTCAGCTCAATTTACGTGTACATCAACATATTATAAGTGATACATATTCTTGAAGATAATAACTTGTTAACATAAAGATTATGTTTTGAGCAACCATATGTTACTCTAATGAGAATTTTTTTTAAATCACCATGTGTACTCACTATTTCAACAGCACTACACCCAATTCAGTTTCACTCAACAATAGTCCAAGCAAACTAATCAAACTTACATAGGGATCGTTAAAAAAATTGCAAGAAAACGTATTATGGTTTAATTTTGTAGACTAGGGATTGCAGAATGACATACTAAAAGTTGCCAAAAATCGGTGCACGAGAAAACCACTAAAATCAAAATTTAAAATGGCGGCTTTTTCCAACATTGGACAAATAAAAAAAAAACATATTTCACATGCATTTGCTATGCACATTTTTCGAGATATTGACTTGGAACCACCGCCTGTATTTATTGGGTGGTTAGTACTTCATTTTTATAGGGAACATGTTTTTGGCCGCCATCTTGGATCCACCATATTGGACATAGATAATTTTTTTTCAATGTAATGATAGTGTTGTGACACATTGTTACCAACTAAATTTTTACACTGATTTCAATGCCGAAATCCATTTTTAAATATCTTTATTCATTTAGAAGATATAATCAAACGAAAACTCTCCACCATACATTTCTTATGGACGTTTCGTAGTTGGATAATTGTTTTAACATTATGTTTCTTATATCTCCAGTTCTTATTGACGCTTGTAGTTCGTTCTAATCTTAAAATATTCAGTAATGTAAGGGCTTTCATTTGAGCTCTTGATCATTAAAATCAGACGAGTTAAAGACCTGCTACGAACCTCAGAACAATATTAAATTTAACTTTTTAGAAACATATTTTTATTAAAAGATTTATAACTCGGGTTTTTAATACGTCACCAAGTTCTTTCTGGTCTCAAATTACTCAGTGAATGCTTAGCTTTGATTTTATTAATCACTAAACAAAATCTGACAATTTTAAAATGAGTCATGGTTCTTAATTTAACATTAAAATGTATTTATTTTGAAATTTGTCTTTAGTTAAGGACATATATCCCAAACCCTAACAACTCCCGGAAAGTAATCCATAGCTAAAATGAAAGTCAATAATTTGGCGAATTATTTAAGACTATAAAGAGTTTTGGGAGTTATTTAGAATTGGGGATATACGTCTTTAACTAAAGACAAATTTCAATATAAATACATTTTAATGTTAAATTATGGTCCATGACTCATTTTAAAATTGTCAGATTTTGTTTAATGATCAATAAAATTAAAGCCAAACATTTAGTGAGTAATTTGAGACCAGAAATAACTTTGTGACGTATTAACAACCTGAGTTATAAATCTTTTAATAAAGATATTTATTTCTAAAAAGTTAAATTTAATATTGTTCTGAGGTTCTTAGCTTGTCTTCAACTCGTCTGATTTTAATGATCAAGAGCTCAAATTAAAGCCCTTACATTACTGAATATTTTAAGCCTAGAACGAACTACAAGCGTCAATAAGAACTGGAGATATAAGAAAAATAACTAGTTTAATATCAAACTACGAAACGTCCATAAGAAATGTATGGTGGAGAGTTTTCGTTTGAATATTTCTTCTAAATGAATAAAGATATTTAAAAACGGATTTCGGCATTTAAATCAGTGTAAAAATGTAGTTGGTAATGATGTGTCACAACACTATCATTACATTGAAAAAAATATCTATGTCCAATATGGTGGATCCAAGATGGCGGCCAAAAACATGTTCCCTATAAAAATGAAGTACTAACCGCCCAATAAATACAGGCGGTGGTCCCAAGTCAATATCTCGAATAATGTGCATAACAAATGCATGTGAAATATGTTTTTTTAGTTTGTCCAATGTTGGAAAAAGCCGCCATTTTAAATTTTGATTTTAGTGGTTTTCTCGTGCACCGATTTTTGGCAACTTTCAGTATGTCATTCTGCAAACCCATCTCTACAAAATAAAACCATAAAACGTTTTCTTGCAATTTTTTTAAGGTCATATCCTATATTTCTCCGACTACAATGACTTTCACGTTGGATTAAAACATGACGATTAGCTAATTAGGTTAGTGCTAGATAGTGTTCGTTTAAATGTAATACAAATGTAATATGATGGATGATGATGATTACCGTGCAGAAGCTGATACCAGAAGCTGAGGGTGATCTTAAGCTTATCACAAGGTACTTTGATACTCCCCCCCTTCCCCCCCTTCGACTCCAATGCACCCCTCAGACTTCGCAATTGAATAAAACTTACAAAAATATATTCACATGTTAAAGTATCTAATGTGTTATGAAAATAAGTGCCTGTGTCAGATGTTCAATGAAAAATTACTCAACCAAGATAGCTGAAATGTTCTACGAATAGGTTCGACGTATTCAAGATTACTATACGTAATACCTATCAATACAGTTTCAAGTATAAGTACCTAATAATATTTAAATTTGATTAGTTCACGATATATTATCGAATGCTATTCATCTTACACTTTCGAAAAGCTCAATAAAAACATTTATGGAACACAATTTATTGTTGAAATGGAAAATTTGACTGTATGGAGTTAAAATATTTCCAAACCAGACAAGCGAACAACAAACTTTTGTACATCATAAAAACATTTTAACAATAAACCGACTCAGAATGAATACTATAAATCAACAGTTGTTGCAAAATAAATATATTAAAATAAAATAAGGTATACACAGCGTATATTTTGTCACATATACTTATCATTGTATCATCTGGTTTGGAAATTTTTTAACTCTATACAGTCAAAGGCTCCATTTCAACAGGAAAATAAACATATTTTCTTTCGTGCCAGTGACGTAATTTTGTTTATGTTGGAGATCCATCGTGTTTTATGTCTTAAGATCCCTGGTTTACTTATTCACTAGAGATACCAGCGATCATAAACTATGTTAGTTCTATAACCAGTAATGACAAAATTTTTTTATAAAAGTACCTTCAAAGGTCTAACACTCTCACAATTTGTTTAGTGTTTGATGTAAATATACATAATGAATATGACATTTATTATCCATAATGTATATAAAAACTTTTTTTCTCAGCTCGAGTGCATCGCAGGGAAAATTTACGCATACTGTTAGATAGACATTTTCCTCTAGATGCGCAGAATCCCTTTATAAATTGAAATAGGCTCAAAAATAAACAAAAATGAATTTAATAATTAACATGGGCCTCATGGGTTGCCATGTTGATGACGAAATAACAACAAAATATAAACAGAAAATCAAAACAAATGGAAGAAATTCCAATCACAGGTTTTATTTACAGCGTTGGATAAAATTAGAGATGTCATATTGCATATTTTTGGTCGAGTTTTCGCCCACTGGACGACCACTAGTAGTGTTAAATGAAAAGGTCCCCTGTTAATGAGAATGTGTTTTTACTAATGTTTGAGTTCTGTTGGTTCTGATGATTGAAGTGTCCAATAGAAATTGATCACCATTTTCAACATACTAGTGGTGCGGCTATGACAAATATTTTCTTGGGGTTCTATTAGCGAAAAATATTTACTTGGGGTTTATATGAGGGAACATGTAGTTATTTGGAACATTGATTACCAAATAAATCACTTAAAATAACGTGAATTGCTACGAATATTTCCATTAAATCACTACTTAATTTCAACTATCTGAAGCCAATCAAATATCTGTAATATATGGACCATTTAAATGGTTTTTGACAATAGAAAATATTTTAATGGAGTTTATACCACAAAATAAAAAAATACAAATTTTACTTAGTCAAGAGTTTAAGGTAAAACAATTCATACCTCCGTGTTTCGCTGCAGGCTCTTTCTTGTCAAAGCTGGCACGTCGTTGGAATGTTGGCACTCTGGGCTTCAACTATGCAAAAAATGGCCTCCGAAGATGGCGGTGTTTGAGAAAGGATTCACCCTTGAGCAGACGAAACTGGCGCGGTTATTCCAACCAAATTATTAAGACTGCTCCACAGACGTTGAATAATTCCATAATGTTTCGGTGGTTTCGGTGTCTTAAGATTCACATACAGTATA